TCATTCAAGAAATGCAAATTAAAAAAAACAATGAGATTACATCTCACTCTAGAAAGAAAGATTTCATCAAGAGGTCAACTAATAACAAATGTTAGAATCGCTGTGGGGGTAAAAGGAACACTTCACTATCGGTCAGAGTGTGGATTAGTACAACCACTGTGGAAATCACTGTGGAGATTTGTATGAAAACTAGAATTAGAGATCAGATTTGAGTAAGCTGTATGCCTTCTGGGTATTTCCGTAGAAGATTTGAAAAGATCATACCATAGCAATATATGTGCATACATGTTTGTAGTGACAGTTTGTGATAGTAAAATCTCACAAATAGCTCAAATGGCCATCAGCCAAAAGATGTATAAAACAGAAGTGATATTTTTATACAATGGAGAATTCTACAGTATAAGGAAGGAGAAACTTGAGGCTTTTATAAGTAAATGCAAGCTGAGACCATATTTATAAATGAAATAATCTATATTCAGTTTGATTAATATTATATTGTTCCTAAGAGTAAAAAAAAATGTACATATTTATAAGATTCAAAGTGTACTATAGGTATTGTAAAAGGGGAAGAAACTGCTCAAAGGAAAAGAAATAATAGTTTTGGGAAAAGGGAAAAAAGAAAGAAACTACATATTGTCACCTAATATAAGTATATATGTGATCTCTGTAAGTCCATTAACAGGAATATTTTTACTTATGTTGATTGAACTTTCATGCCTTGTAAATTGAGCAACTACATTGAAGATAACTATAGTTATGTTAATTTCCTAGTATATTGTTTTTCTCTTTAAACTTAAATAAAACAAAATTCACAAACATTACTTTATTCTTTTGTTATCAGTATTGAGGAAGAAGTTCTCTTTGTCACCTAATGTTGTTCCAATGGTGTGCCACTATGTTTCAGGACAACTATGATAACAGTCACAATGTATTAAACCACCAGAGTTAAGGGACCTCCATAGAACCCCAAAACCAAAATCAAGCGGAACACTGTGTGCTTTAACTCTGCCACCCCTTACACAGCTCTGCGCACTGTAATAAGCGCCACACTGTCAGCCTTCCTTCCTTTAAAACATGAAAGACATAACTCACAAATCCAGAGCCTTGTGAATATGAAGCTGTATTGCATTCGATTTAGCAAAATGATTCAAGGTGATATTATGATTGAAAAGCAGTTTTTAATTTTGCATTTGGAAAAAAGGAAAAGCAATTTTCAGTACTTTTATACATAATAATAGCTCATCTGTGATGGCTGTGCTCTCTAAGGGAAGCACAGAAACTGGTCATTTTCTCCTACTGTGCTTATATCATATCTTTATTATTTATTTATTTATTTATTTTTTGCGGTACTAAGTATTGAACTCAGGACCTTGCTCTTGCCAGGCAAGCACTTAATCTAGTGAGCTATCTCCCCAGCCTCTTCATATTTTTAATAATTTAATTTTAGAGATTAAATAAAAACCAAAATAAAAAGTAAATAGCAAAAACAAAGAGAGAAATAGAGTAACATACAACAAAACATATGTAGCAGATTTTCAAAACAAGAATAGCAAATTAACAAAGATTGTTACATTATGTGTTTTTATAATCAAAACTGTTACTCAAATTAACAGATTTAGGTATGCAAGATTAAACAAATAACAATATTAATGGATGCTTTCAATAAACCTTATTTTTTTCCTGTGCTTCTTACCTTTTTTAAAGTTTATTTTAAAGAGAGTACAATTGTAGTTGGTAAGACATTAGAATGGGTGCACATTTAGCAGACCATGTTGAGAGGTATTCAACCGTGGTTTGTATGGCACCTTACTGTTTTCAATGCAGTTGCTCAGAATGCAGATATTAGCATATAGAGTTAGATAAAGTGCAAATTTTAAACATTAACTGCTATTTTCCAGAAGCTGATAGAAATTAGTAGTACAATAATCTGAGCTCTCCTGTACATATACGTCTATGCTTTTTTCCCTTTCTTTTCACTCTATATTTTTTCCTTTCCCTCATTTTGTTTATTCCTTATGTTCAGTTTCATTCCATTTTACTATATCTAG